AACCAGTAACCATTGTTGGATTAACAACTACAAGTTTCATAACATACAAAATGTCATGCCACATAAAATACACACACATATCAATAATCTAACTTAAAATTGGGGTAATCATTAGTTAGATCTCATCAAGACCATTGCATAATCTTGATTAGTTCTTGACCCAAGATCGATGTAGGATATCGTTCCTCCATTGGGCTGAACGATAATTCTACAAATGATCTCGGTGGTCCAGACTAAGTAAGTTGGTTGGGTAAGCTCATCACCGTTGGGTTACAAGTTTCCCCAAGCAGAACCCCTTATTTAGTCTTTTCGTCCCACTCTAACTATTCAAAATAACATCCTTCCATTGGGCCGAATCGCTACCCATCATAGTTAAGTGCAAATATGTGACTTATTTATAGAGGAGAATCTCATACTCACGTCCAAATAAAGACAATACACACACACACACACACACACATATATACATATATTGGTTCATTTTGAATGAAATTTTGAGCAAGAGTATACAATAGGGTCCTCTATGATCCCTTCAAATTTCAGCTCAATCCGAGGTCGGAAACCCCCTAAACCGGCCTCAAGAAGTCATCAATATGATAGTGAACCGGAAGATTAGTCACTGAATTGGTCCAATATCTCCTTATCCAAAGGGTGTTTTTGTCTGAAATGTCATGCATAATAGGGTCATAGAGTCTAGTGGGGGCCCACAAAATTTCAGCTAAATCGGAGTTCAAAAACCCCTTGAACCAGCCACAACTGTGACGTTGTCATAGTCTATTGGGTTAAGTCGAACGGTTCTAACAACTCTGATCCAACCCGCGCAAAATCGAACCGGTTCAAGCTAAAACTCAAACTGAACTGGGTTGGAACAGGTCCAACCAGGTCAAACTGGAATCATACACCATAAGTTTACCGGGTCGGGTCGGGTCGGGCATCCAGGCACCCGACCCTCGAGCTTCATCTTCTTCACCTGAATCTGGTGCTACAATGTTCACTAGACTGAGCGAACACAGCAGCACCGAACGGGTGTTGAAGGGCGCCGGTTGACGACGAACGATCGGAATGTCACTGTCGACCACCTAGAAGGTCTTTTCCGACAATAAAACGGCTAGAAATGGTCGGAATCCGGTGATTTTCAGGTCTAAGATTCCTTGAGAAACAAAGAAGAAAAGAGCAATGTTTCAGCCATTTCAGAGCATAGAGTGGCTCTTATACCAATTGTCAGATATAATGATGACTTTTGAACATGAAAGAAGTATCATAGAAGCATTCTTTGCTCTAGAAACAGACTAAAATAAGTAAAACCGACCTTGAGCTATTGATGTAAAGTTGGCGTCCATGGCTCTATTCCGACATTAGAGACTTTCAGAAACACATCTTCTAGCTTTGTTACTTTCTCTCTCTCTTTTCTCTGAAAGAAAACGAACCGGAGAACACTTTGCTCCTTGCAGAACTGCAAAACCTGAAAAATAGAGCACAATGGGGACTCTTCTCTCTAGTCACGGTTGCTCTCAACCGATTGATGGCTAGTGTGTGTGTATGGGGTTCTATTTATAGAGCCCAAACCGCCTAGAGATGGGCCTTCCTTCATGGTTAAGGAACTGTAAAATCAGAGGCTCCACCAACCACTGTTTTACAAACCATTAGATATGAAACCATGTACTCCCTCTCTCAGTGGGAGCCTTATGTGGGCTTCTAGAACAACTTACCATTTCAGCAGCTAGTTCCAGACACTACTGGGTCCCAATTGCTGATTCATCTCAAGCTACATGAATAAGTTCTAACAATGGTGGCTTAAATTTCATTAAGCAACGTAGAATTCTAAGGGTGAAAATAGAAAATTTAACAAAATAGTAACCATTCCTAGAAGAATTTTCAAGGAAGATATTAAGTAAAATGAAGTAAAAACACAGACAAAGGCATTATAATACTCTCGAAATCAAAATAGTCAAAGTAAACAACGGAAAATTTGTAAAATTAAATTAATAAGAAAACAGAATGAAGCTTGGATTTGCTTCCAAATGCGAACCTTGAATGACGCTCTACATGCCTCACTATTCCTGCTGGCTTCATGAGAAGAACAAAGATCAGAGTAATCGCAAAGAAAGGGAAGCGGGGTTCTTCTCTTTATAGTGATAGCAGATCACATCAATCATGCAAAGCTTCCCGACACATCAACAATCCTCGAAGCCGACTTTCGCATTCGAGGAGTGATCGTAGCTCCAAATGCTGAGAAAGTTGTCACCCGACCCCTTGAGCATCAACAACGCATCGCTGATGGTGGTGGAAATGGAGAGCGACCTCAGTGATATTCCAAGACAGAGGTCGGATGCCTTGCGAGCCAACAAGCTAACTGCCATGCAAGGGAAGAAGAAACTCTGGACAAAAGCCCTAAAGAAACAAACCCTAAGATGGATGCAGAATGAGACAGACCCTCGAAACGATGAGACGCGGCGATGGTGGTGGGAGCTTGGAGGGTGGCACCGTATTGCCGAAGGTGTGGGGTATTTATATATGAAGTTTACCAGGAACCGGATTAGCCGGGAGACCCTATTCGCAAGTTAATGCGGTTTAGAGAGCTGCGGGACCCACCTTACCGTTCAGTTCCATAGGGAGCCACCTACACACTCAACAATTGCTGCAAGCATTCTTCGATGCGGCGAAGAACGTTTGGTTGGTGGTGGATGGATGCTTCACCTCTATCAAGAGATTTGGGTTCCCGGAACCTGATCTTTATTTTCTTGAGAAAGAAGATGATGAACAGTGTGTTTGGGCTCTATTTCATTTTCTTCAAAAAGAAGATGATGATAGTGTGCAAGGGTAATTTTGACATTTTTAAAAGTCTTAAATCGCACATGAGGTCATGTGATATATATAACTAACGGTCATATGTACTAGATTGTTGCAAAATGAAGTTCGGGTACTAGTTTGTCGCGTTTTAAAGTTCAGCTACTAAGTTGGCACTCGGCCTAAAGTACAGGGTACCTATTGGGAATTTTCCCTAAACAAAAATAAGTGCGATCGTAGTTATTTTTATTAATGATAGAAATAGAATTAAAAACTATACTAAATTAGAAAAAAAATTGTTTTTGCATCTAATTAATGGTCTATGGTCCATAGGGAGACAAAATTAAGTGGGCTTAACTCAAGCTCGAATCGACCTAACTCGTAATTTTAGATAGTCTAGCTTCGATTTTCGATCCTCGACTTGTACCTAGGCCTAGGTTCAAAAGTTTGAACTTTTTTATTTTTCTATTTGGGCCCAAGTCTATCCCTTAAGTAGCTAATACATACAATCATAAATACATATATAGCATATATTTGCATACATGCATGTATATACAATTGTACACATATATTTTATGACAAGTTTTATCATTGGGCTAATTGATAAACCCAAGTGCATTAAATTTCAATGTAGGTTGGAAGTTGGGCCCAAGTTGAACATATTAGACTTGACTTTGGTGAAGCCTTAGGTCCAATGCACAGGGTTGGGCTTGGGTTAAGCTTAAATTCAGATCAACCTACTTGCCTTGCACCATAATGGTCCAATCGTTTGGGTAAGTGAATTAAACAATGATGTCATAATTAAATAATAAAGATTTAAAAAATACATAAAAATACCTAAAATTTATAGAAAATTTTGAGATATCTAAGATATTATAAACTTATCATATCAAACAAAAATAAGTGTGATAATCAAGAATTGAATTTATTAATGTTATCTGACATTTCCACATGCACGTGCATATTATATAATTATGTTCTATAATATCTATCTATCTATCTATCTATATATATATATATATATATATATATATAAGTTCCAATTTTTCATATTAAAAGTTAATATTTGAAGAAAAAACATGTTTTTTAGCAAAAATAGTGGGAAAAGGCACATTTGGCAACTTGGGAACACGTAGATCTCAAAAGAAAAAAAAAGTTCACCGCAATTGGACATCTAAGCACAAAGTTATGGTCTTTAGAAGTTTGCCTTTATGTGCAAAAAAAAATTCAAAAAATCGACCGATTTTCTAGTTCAACCATCTAGATCACCGATTTTGGTCGGTTTTTTATCCAATGTGATTTGGGGGTATGGCCAAACCGGTAAAGGCTTGGGTTATGGTTCAACCAGTCCAACCGACCGATTCAATTTTCTAAACACTGGTTAGAACTTAGAAGTGTTTCATGGGTAGAACCATAGAAGATCTCTACCCACAAAGATCACTTCAAACACGCCCACAAGGCCACAATGCATCCAACTCGTGCATTGGGAACAACCCTATAGAGAATTCGGGTGGATCCCCCACAACCGAAGTTTTTCGCTCAATAGTCAATTAATTAGTTTCCTTTGCACAATTTTACCTTTATCAAAAAAGGCTAAATCACTGAATCCTCCTCTAGAATTTCTAACCATTGCTTAAACCATATCTGAAGTTTGATAATTTCAATCACTTCTTTTGAATCTTTTGATACAGTTAAAATCGTTAAAATCTTTTAAAAATGACAAAAATATCCAAAATGCCCATACAATTAATATCAAGACTGACTTTTACAGAAAAAACAATACAAATTTTATACAATAAAAAATAGAAAATTTAAAGTTGCAGCTTTAATTTTGAATGATTGATATTAAGGGAAAATTTGAAAATAAATTAATATATTTTGAATATTTTTGTGCCTTTTTTTAGAAGATTCTATCAAAAGGATCTGTATGCAATTATCTAAAAGTTTAAGAAAGATGGTTGCAATTACCAGACTTAGGAAGGCTTTCCGCAACCACAGAAAGTTTTGGGGAGGTTTTAGCAAGTTACCCAGAAAAGAAAAATACTTTCCTTTGTAGACAAGGAATTGCAGTCGTAAATCATAATCAAAATTGGAAGTCTACGTAGTACGTAGAAATAGAGTTGAAAACGAAACACTGAGAGGAAGCGGAGGGAGTTGCTTATAAATTGAAGAGACCACCCGAAGAGAGCTGGCATCAAAATCTTCAACTTCTCTCTTCTCCTCCTCATCTGCTTCTGCTGCAATGGCGTCCTCCTCCTCCTCCTTGCCGTCGCCCTCGTCCTCGTCCTCGAAGAAGTTCATTCTGAGGAGCTCCGATGGAAAGCATTTCGAGGTCGACGAGGCCGTCGCCCTTCAGTCTGAGATGATCAAGCAAATGGTTGAAGATGGCTTTGGTGGCGATGTGATTCCGTTGCTCAACGTCAGCAGCATTGTCTTATCCAAGGTGATTGATTATTGCAAGAAACACGTCGAGTTGGATTTCAAGAAGAAGATGGACGGTGATAACGAGGCTCACGAAGAAATCAAGAACTGGGACTCAGAGTACATCAACGTCGGTGTCGATGAACTTTACCATCTTATAATGGCTGCCAACTACCTTCATATCAAAGGGTTGCTGGATTTGACTTGCCAGAAGGTCGCTGATATCATTAAAGGGAAGCAGCCGGAGCAGATTCGGAAGATTTTTAATATCGAGAATGACTTTACGCCTGAAGAAGAACAGGAGATCCGGAAAGAACACAGTTGGGCTTTTGAGTGAATCTCCAATCGAGTAGAGCTTAAATGCTTACAATAGTTATAGAAGTAGGAAGAAAGAAGAAGAAACAGAACCCCACTGAAAGAGAAGCAAATAGATACTCTTCTATGAATCAAAATTTTGAAAGAGATAGTAGTAGCAAACAGTAGGGATTGGCTTTAATTTTTTTTTCTCGCTTATTTATTTTTTTGGTTGTTGACTGTAAAAAGATTGACAACATGATATACCTAGAAATTGAAATCTTAAATCTTAAACATGGGATTGATCAGTCTCTCTCTTTTTTTAATTATTCTTTAGTTTTTAATGTTGTTGGGACGCTTGAGCGTTTAGTTTGAGTGGATGCTTGTGCTTTGGGGATAATTGTTTCTTCAGAATATGTTAGAGAAATTCAAAGAGAATGTATTTCGGATGATGATTTTTTGTAGGAGTCCTACTGTGGTGTACCAAAATTTTGGCTCGGTTCGGAAGGAGTACAAACACAAATATGTACTGTACAAATAAATACACAATAATATAAAATATTAGGTTTTGCACTCTACATTTTTGTATTTGTACTCTAAATGGAGCCTCAGAAGGCTCCGGCCAATGTGGGGTATATGGGGAGGGACAGATGTCCACAGCCTTGTCCCTGCACATACAGAGAGGTTGTTTCCAAGATTTGAACTTTGGTCACCCAGGTTGCAGTGGAGCAAACCAAGGTTCATGTATGGTATCGTATTTTTGGGGTCCGAAATACAGGTGTTTCTGGAACCCCTTTTTTTAATAAAAGATATATACACAAACCAAACTTTGAAAGAAAAACTAAATAAAACATAAAAAGGACATGGTTTAATTTATCCATACACCACTGCCGATACAGAAAACAAGTAAATAAATTAAAAACTTTGTTTTTCTGTATGTCTTTAGGCTGGGCTCTCTTGGATCCATCTTTCCAATCTTATACAATTACTCTCGTTTAATACCATCATTTTCTTAATGATTCAACAAACAAGAATCTGATATTTTGTTTTCCTTTTTTCCTGATTATTGCAGTACATAATAACAACAATGCAATTTATTCATAATTATAAGCAGAAACGAACTGGAAGTACAAACTGCATGAACCAGTAGATTATAACATAATGACAAAAAGGAAAAAAAAAAGGGAGAAAAAAAGAAGAAAATCCTAAGTTACTGTCGCTGCTCAGTTAATTACTCTGGTGAGGCTGCAGGAACACCAGCTGCCGCCTTTAAGCCTGGATATGGTGAATATTCATACTTTCCATCCCATCTGAAATTTATACAAAAGAAGAGATGAATTTGCCCTATCTTTTAAAAAGGGAAAAGAAAAATAAAGTGGTAGGCAAAGCATAATCCCTTAGAAAAACTGACCTGCATTCTTCCCTGGTTGGAATTTGGAGCTCCAGTTCATCCTTAAATGGTTTGAATACCAGATCCACCTTTTCACTTTCCACTTTGTCAAGACTTGCTGGCTCCCACTGCCATGGCATGTAAATTTGTAAAGAGAGAGAGAGAGAGGGAGAGAGAGAGAGAGAGAGCATACCTTTGGAGCATTATCTTTGTCAATAGTTAGAGCTCTAATGCCCTTTTCAAGCACAGAATCAAGAGAAATATTAGTTGGATTCATCAGGAAAAGTATGCTATCCAAATAAAATATTAATACATTATTACTTCTCACATATGGCAGACTACTACTTTATTACCTCATAGACATCGCCAGATATTGTGGTTCTTAGTATGTTCATTGTTAGTCTGAATTCCTTCTTCAGACATTCAAGCAGAGTTTGCTTCCTTCCTTCTCGAATCTGGAAAATTAAGCTTAAAGAGAATGGGTGTCGGAATTTGCAAGAAACATCAAGCAGAATAAAGGTTCAAAATCTGTTCCTTATATTTGCCAATAGGGCTTTAATCGGGTCAGATTTTGTTTGGATTTAGTCCAGTTGACTTTATTAACTTTATTATGTAAATGGATAATCTGAAACCAAAAATAATAAGATTGGATCTCAGATCAGGTGTTGGACTGTTGGACTTTATTGACTACTTGATAAAATAATGAAATGCAAAAACTGTACAACTGAAATTTATTGTATAAATTAAGTGGTTGGAATAAAAACTCTTTTAATAGCGGGTAAAATGGCTCTTTTAAAGGCAACCATATGTATGATGCTTCTATTTGTGAGGAGAGCTTTTAAAATTCCATAAGAAAATTTGCAAGCCTTGAACAAACTCCAAAAAGGTTTCTTGTGGGGTAAAAGTGATAGAAAACCCCTTGATTTAATCAAATGGGAAAGTTTATGCAAATCAAAGCATAAAGGAGGATGAGGCGTAAAGAAACCAGAATGGATGAATAATGCTTGCCAAGCAAAATTGGGTTCGCAATCGGAAAACTTATGAGTCCAAGTGATGAAAGAAAAATATTTAAAAAATAAGGATTTCTGGACTCTTGAAGCCAGGGGAAGGGACTCATGGACCTGGAAAGGTATTTTAAGTCAAAGGGATCTTAAAGAAATGTTTAAAATGGATTATTGGTAGTGGAAAATCTGTCTGTGGAAAGATACATGGATAGGAGAGACCGCTCTGGAGTCAAGGATTGATATGTCCTCAGTAAGTAACCCTCAAGACAAAGTGGAAGTGATTCTAAATAGATCAAATAGAACTTGGGACGAGAAAAGGGCTAGAAACCTAGCAAGAGATCAAATCTGGAAACAAATAAAAACCATTGTCATCCCATCTGAGGATAAAGAAGACAAAATAATATGGAGACCAAACCCATGGGTTTCTTTTCAGTCAAATCAGCTTATAACTTGTAGGCGGTAGGTCAAATTATGAGGAAAGAGAATTACAACAACTGAGGAAAATCTGGACAGTGAAATGCCTGCCCAAAATAAGATGTTTTTTTTTTCCTCACTTGCAAGATCCTGTTGAGAACCTGATTTTGAGAGAAGGGCTTTAATATCAACTTGGATTGTCCTGTGTGGAGATCAAGAAAACTTAGTGCACATCTTCTTCCATTGTGATTATGTAAAGCAAATATGGAATTTTTTTGATGACTCGAGGATTAAGCCTTTCAATGAAGACCAAAGTTTTAATAGTTGATAGAGGAGAATAGAAATCTTGAGTAGAGAGGATGATAAATTGAAAACTTTAATGGCCATTATTCTTTGGAGAATTTGGAAAAACAGGAACAGCAGGGCTTTTGATGACAGAAGCACCCCTCCCCAGGTTGTTATAGAAAAGGCTCGATGGGAAGCAGAGGAGTTTTATAACGGGGTAGGAGAAAATGTGGAGGGAAGGAAAGAGTCTCTAGAAGTTAGCTGGGTGCCCCCAAAGAGGGGAGTAATAAAAAGCAACTTTGATGCTTCTCGCAAAACTAATGGACTAATGGTGAATGTGCAATTGGCTGGGTTGCAAGAATTTAGGGCAGGTGCTAGGAGTGGAATCCAGAATGACAGGTAATTTCTCAATTAACTTAGCAGAAGCATGGACAGCTTTTGAAGCAATTAGGGCAACAAGAAGATTCCCCAGAAGTGATTTCATCATCGAGGGAGACTCAAAAATTGCCATTGACAGCTTGAAGGATTTGATTGATTGTGCCACTGTGGAGTATTGCAAACTTAATCGAGGAATGGCTTCACCAGTGTAGGGAAAGAGACCTTGACGTTCTTTTCTCTCATGCGTATAGAGAAACAAATTTTGCCACAGGTTGGATTACTAATGAAGATCATTGGTCCTCCAGAATTAGTTCTTCTCCTGTGTTAAATTGGTTATTTTCTTTCATCTATTTTTGTGATTCCATGAGGAGAGCTACTCTCCATGTTGTGTAGCTCATCTTCCTTTCTTATAAAAAAAAAAAAAGTGTATAAATGACAAAGGAAATTTCAAGTGTACCGATTGTAATGTTATCTTCAATCCTGTTGGGGAAGATCTTTTCAAGCCCTTGAGCACTGGACCTATCCATCCATTTCCCTCACAGATTGCCTCAGTTTCCTGAATGGAGAGTACCTTTTGGTTAATAAGGACAATGGAATTTAAAACACTTAACCTGTTAGGTGCTATACTCATTTCTCCATATGTTCCAAGTGTTAAGCTGATTTTTGGTCTTAGGGTGTAAAACTGGTGGATCTACAAATCACACATATGTGCACACAGACATAATAAAGAGAATTTAGATGCCTATTAAGAGTGAAAGAAGTGAACTGCTCAACTTGGGCATATTTTCGAAGACTAACAAGACCACATAAGTTATCATACTATCTCGTGAACTCACAAGTGATTTTATAATCTCTTCAACTGACTCATGTGAAAAGCACTTGTCAATTGTTGATCGCCTGCAAGTGAAGATTTTCATATCAGTATTAACTCCAACATTATGGATCTCCTTCAGTAGCAGAAAAGATATGCTTTATCAGTTTGGATGTATACTTGTTTAGGATGCTTTCTTCATCTGGTTGAACATCCAAAGAGAATTCCTCAATTGCTGATCTAACCGCATTCACATCACCCGAGTTTAAATTTATCAATTTCTTCTCAAGCTCAGGCAATTTCTGATAGACATATGATATACATGTATAAGGAAAGTAATTTTAGTACAAAGAAAAGAAAATGATTAATTAAAAATTAAAAATTTGGGTAAATAATTGCCACATTGGAATTTCTATTAGCTTAACATCTCTTACTACATTTCTGCATGTATGTAGATCAATTAAAGGTTGCATCAGTAATTGTTGGATAGGGATAAAGAAACTTTGACATAGATAGAGCTCAAACATATTCGAAATTAAATAAATAAATGAATTCTGTGTGGAATTTGATGGAACAATATGTATTACATACATCCAGGTTGGTTCAATATCTGAAAATGAAATCAACATAAAATTCCTCCTAGTGAATGTCACTCTCCAAATTGTTTGGTATTACTTTTCCCCTTGTAGTCTCAAATTGGCTCCGTGGGACTCATTTGACAATTCATTTTTGCAGTCTTTGCAGCAGGTTTTGTACCGAGTAACCTTGATTCCATACTAATTGTTTCTTCCTCACCTGATGGATGCACCTTGTCTACTTCATGTGGATGTATGATCTTCATCTATGGTCTTGTTTCAATTCTATCATTCAGAAATGCTTTATCATCAGTTTGAAATGAAGGCTCTCTGTTCCCCTTGCATCTTAACTTGGACACTGTGATTGCTTACTCATGTATATCTTGGAACAAGTGAATGTTTAAAAATGTAGAAGTATGAGGTAAGAGCCACGAGACACAAGGACCTTCAGATGTTTGAGGCTTAGGTTCCATGAGTTGCCACTCTTTTAAGAAAACATCAAATTAAAATGAAGAAAAATACAGGAATATGCATAAGATTAGTATATAGATTATCACAAATAACAATTTAAGAAAATTGGGAGCTTCAGAGCAAGTTATCACATTCTCACAAACCATTTTATAATTATCAAGAAGCCCCAAATGCTAAACAACACCTCAAAATATCTTCAAATATGTTACTGCTAAAGATATAAGGACATGGTATATGCACATTTACATTTACAGGCACGATAGAAGGCATCCATCCCATTGTGTGAAAATTGTGCCTTGTACTTTAAGGTGTGAGTGTCATTGCTTTTATTGGGAAGTTGAAGAAATTTATAGTGATATTTGCATGTTATATTGAGCTTGTTGGGTAGGTAATTATTAAGCATTAAAACAACATTATCAAAGCTAACGCACTTAAGCATATTTTGAAATTGTAAAAATGTCTGTAAGTTCTCTGACAATTTGATAATAGTTTGAGCTTACCTCAGAAGGGACAAAGTGGGTTGCCAGGCCAGCTGCAATCAATTCTTTTCCATTGAGTCTTGCACCCGTTAAAGCCAAGAGTTCACCTGTTATTTACCAATATATGAAGTCACAAAAGGATATATGATAAACAAACACAACTTTCCTTTTTCTTTTGACATTTTTACCCTGCCTAAGCTATATATCTCTCCTTGAGAAGCAAAGACCCATTTCACCATTACATGCAATGTAAAACCAATAAAAAATTCAAACGTTTCACCATGAAACAAAATCCTGGTCTGTGTCATTTAGTTCACGCTTACCCAAATGCCCAGGGAGACGTGAGAGCATGTATGAGAAGCCACAGTCAGAGTGAAACCCAATACTGGCTTCAGGTGTGGCAAAGACCTACATGATAAAAGGACGCAATGCATATATTGTTTACAAAAAAAGCACTTCAAGGCATGTGTACTACAACAGTGCATTAGAAATCAACCATCTGGTCTGATATAAAGAAAAATTAGAACAAATTTCAGCAAAAATTGAAAGTCCCAAATACCCACTGTTTTCTCTGTGACAACTGAGAACTTCAATGGTACCATGAGAGCTGCACCTCCACCCATGGAAATTCCATGAACAAGAGCTACCTGAAAACAAACCAGCAGGTGACTACAGCAACAAAGATAACAAAATATAAGAAACATTTGTTCTTAACAATCTTAAAGCATCTTACCTGCGTTTTCTTGTAAGTATGGATGTGATAACAAAGCCAGTACATTCTGTACACAACCTCTAGGCAGGAATCATCTAATAAAAGATTATCTATAAGTAACTTTCTCTATTTAAACAACTACACCTAGGAAATATAACAGTGAATTTAATTCTAAATGCTCAGATACAAAAATTGCCTGAACAAGAAATGGAACTACTAAGTTTGATAACAAAGATATTAGACTTCTATTTACATGATTTCTTGCCATCATAGAACATCTTCAAGTCCCCACCAGCAGAAAAAGCACGCCCAGCCCCCTGGATAAGAAAATGATAAAGTGAATACATGAAATATTTTGTGCTCCTCTAAAGGAAAACATGGCCAAATTAAAAAGAAAGAAAATCATGAACAATATATAAACAATTTGTTGATTGTTAATGGCTCAATGGCACTATGGAACTAAACAAAAAAGAAAAAAAAAGTTCAAGACATTCGAATGCCAAGAAGTAAAAATACTAACCTTAATTAGAATAAGCTCTGCGTCATCATCCTTCTCCCATTTCTCTAGGTACTCAGCTAGCAGAGAAACCTGACCCCAAAAAAGGGTATCAATGACTCAGTGGTGTGATTATTTCATAATTCAACTTGGGAAGCGAACGAAATGGAAGCTGAACCTATTAATTATTTCATAATTCACCAAAAACAAAAGAATTTCATCAGAAAACAGAGCATAGAGAGTGCCACTGCAAATTTATTTAAGTTACCACTTTGGATGAAATGACATTCAATTGGCGAGGCCGGTTCAAAGTTATCAATCTCACATGGTTTATTTCATCTCCAAGAACAACCTGATGAGTATGTATTGGTACACTAAATCAATCAGTGATATGAAACAATAATCCACTACATACATCTATAACCAGAAGATCCAAACACAGATAATTGCCGAAAAGTAATTTTATTCCTTATTTAGAAAACCAAAGTCTTCAAAGGGAGTACCTCTCCTTCTGGGTTAACGAGATCCTGAGCCATTAAAGCAAGTAGACAGTTTCAAAGAAGAAAGGAAACCTGCACAACAAACAAAATCAAAATCATAAGAACCGCAGCAACAGAAAAAGTAAAGCTAACCACTCAATAGAAAACTCGAAGCAAAAGTATTAAGTTGGGTAAGCTGAAAAGTTCATCTCTGTTCTTCATAGGAAACAACAAACAAAACAACAAAAGTAAAGTAATTGAACTAAATAAGATCATTGAAAAGGAGAAAATAAAGAATACCAAATGCAATTAAGGACCAATGTGTATAAATTTACGACTGAAATGAACTTAAAGAGGGGAAAAAAAGAGAAGAAAGAAGAAAAGGAAAACGTAAGTGGAAGAGAGAAGGACAAATTAAGCTTACCTGAGAGATGAGATTTGGAGAGAACAAGAAAATAATAACAGAAAAGACGGTTTTATACAAGAGAAGAGATGGAGAAGGAATCTGATGAGGTTGGTTTGGTGGTTGGAAGGACCCTGTTTCAACAAGAAGAGTGAATTTTCAAGTGTGATGTGAGAAAGTAGGCAGAGAGAGAAAGAGGGGGAAAGACTATTGCCCATTGGAGAAGGCGCGTTACCAACCACCTCCCACTAAGGATACGTTTGGTTTTGTTAGAAAATAAGTTTCCCTCGCCTTTCTGCTTCTCTCTTATTTTCTACCAAACCAAACACAACCTACAAAGCTGATGTCAATTCTAGGACTTGAGGGTACCTAACCTTCAATCAAGTGTTAAAATTAGGAGTTGTTAAGATCACGTGGGTAAGTGGGTTTCTTATTGGTTTTAGGTTTTCAGGTACCAAGCCTTTTCTCTATCATAGAAATGGGACCACATCTACTCCTCACACCTGGCGCCTCACAGGCACATCCTACCATGCATCGGAAATATCTCCCATACTTATCAATTATTATTCACGGGAGATGTTCTCAATGCACGGTGGATGTGCATGTGAGGCGCCCATTTGTGAGGACCAGATCCCATCTCCATAAAAATTGCCAATAAAAATGTTAAATTTGGGAGATTTAGGAATTGTGTTTCTTGTTTTCGATTCTAAAAACAAATTAATCAAAACAATCTTGTTTGAAAATAGATTGTTTCTTAAAATAAAAATATAAGAAACATATATGTTTTTGGTTGTGTATATATTCTTTTGTTTTCAAAACTGAAACCAAAAACATATTCTTGAATTTAGTTTTAAAAACATATTTTCATCTGATTATAAAACATCATGTTTTACATATAAAAGATTTGTTTTTGTTTTAAAAACTAATATTTTCTTGGTTTCAAAAACATGTATTGCTTTTCCAAACAAAACCAATTTGTTTTTCACTTTGAAAACAAAAACAGAATATTACTGATGTGGTGATTCCAAAAACAAATGAACACAAAAACATTGGTGTTGTAAAACACTTCCTTAGATTGTTTTTGGATAGACTTGAGGATTTGTGATTTAAAAGCCCGATTTTGGACAATGGGATTTGCTGCAATAAAAAATTTTGCATACATTTTAACAGCGTGGGCTGGTACCGTGTACCAGAGATATTTACAATGTGGGGCCGGCGCTATGTGCCCACAGTTTTTATTTGCAGGAGATTCCAATTTGTCCCTGATAAAAAGTGTTTGGTTTTAGACTTCTATGGTTTTAAAAGCAATTCAACACAGCCCAAGGCTCAAAAACAAAAGCTTATTCAAACAAGAAATAATTTGTTTTTAGAATTTGGTAAGATTGTTTTAAAAAGTATACAATCTGAAGTCACAAAGCTAAGGACCAAACCATAAAACCTAAAATTGGGGCTTTCTTGTTTTTTGGCTTGGAAGGCATAGGTCAGATACATGATATACGTGGTATCAATCTATCTAATCTAGGGATGCTCACGGTTCGGTTAAACCAAATCAATACTGATGTAGGTTAATCCGGCTTAGCCCACGGGTGCCAACCAAGGTCCGATCTAATGTAGCAGGGGCTACCCTTCTCCCATCGCACAGGGCCAACCGTGGAGCGCCCCAGTGTCCTCGTAGGTACCCGCTACCTGCCATCGTACGACACTCACCTAGGGTGTCTATCTCCACCTACCTCCAGGCAGTCCAAGTATAAATACGAGGTACCCCCCTCCAGGTAAAGGATCTGATCCTAGAACCTTAGTAGCTCTTGGCATACTTTTGACTGGGAGCCTAGTGCCTACGAGCGACCTCATCCCGAGCCTTCGTTTGCACTAGACCCCCTCTTTACTCCTCATACTAATTTGACTATCGAAGCCTCTGCCTCAAGTTCTCACCCGAGGCCTCTGATGTCTCCTATCTTGTAGAACATCTCGACCTCTTCAGGACACCTCACCTCGACTACTAGCTCTCGTATGAAGGAACCTCGCCTCGGCTACGAGTCCTTGGCCCCCTCAACCTCCAGGAGACCATTCCCCTTGGCTTCCATTCCTTTACCTTGGCTCATACCCTCCAGAGCCTTGGAGCCCTCAACTCTCAACTAGAGCTCAGGAGTGAATTGACTTTGTTGCCCTCGAGCAATTCGAGTGCCAATAAGTACTACCAATTTCTAAAAACAAAAAATTTGAACCAAAACTAAACCGAAGCCAATTAATTAATTGATTGGTTTGGTTTTAATCAGCTTGATTCGTTGATTTTTCAATTTTTTTATATTAGTTAACCAAAAACCAAATTAGTACCTTCTGTTTCAAAAAATACAGAACCAGAATTTCCGGTTCAAATTGGTTTTTGATGATCACCCCTAATCTAATCCAATGATTAAAATACGAAAACCTATTCCATGCAAGCATTTATAGGGTTTGTAACTAATAGACCTGAATCAATACAATCTTATATCTATACCAACAATAAAATGCTTGTACGATTGTTAACAAGAATTTAGTAAATAGAATCTTTTTCGGCTACGTGGTCATAGCTCCTTATGCTAAATGGTATCCCGCATACCAAGGATATAAAGCGTATAAAGGGCTTAGCCCTGTTTTATAAATTCTATTAAATATTATAGTATTTACAATATTACCATCATAAAATACAAAATAATAATAATAATAATAATAATAATAATAATAATAATGAGGAGTTAACCCTCTTTTATAATTGTTATTAATTATTAATATTATTTACAATTATGCCACAGACAAAACCCTCTTTTATAATAGTTATTAATCATTAATGTATTTACAATGATGCCATAATATAAGACAAAAACTAATAATGATAAAATGTTTTATATTTATTTTTAAACATTCAACTATTTATGATTATGCCATTTGATAAAATAAAAAACAAGAATAAACCCTTTCTTATAAGATGGGAGCAGGCATATAGGGGTGTGCAAGTGGATCTCATCCGATATATATTATATATTTATAATATAAATATAAATATATATAATACATATATATATATATATACTATTTATTTATTTATAAATATATTTTTTATATTATATTTTTATAAATTTGTTATATTATTTATTTTTTATAAAAAACATGTATATATATGATGAAAATAATTAACAAATATTTGCATTTTTTACTTTATTTAAATCAGTATATTTTATTTTTCTTTTAATAATTTATTAATTTTTAAAGAAAACAAGTTGGAATGGATTAGATCCGAAGATTTGACTTATTGATAGCATTTGAAGTCAAATTGAGTCCTATCAGATCCGATTGGATCAGATCCGATATGAACAGTGTCAGATCGGATTCAAATATACCCTGATTCGAATCTGATCTGATCCGTTTGCATCCCTACAGGCATAGATCATAGATCCGTGCAAGGAAGAAACCCAATTAATTGTTAAATCCTTATTTGCAGTGTAAATCTGAACGAGATACAAATTTTGCAACTGTGTCAATTTTGTATCATTTTATTTGTGATTATGATTTGCAGTCGTATCTGATATAATATTTGTACTTTTTATCTCACATTTGCACTCATTTGCGATGCAGACTTTACATCTACCTTCCTTCCACCCACCTTAGTTCCTTTTTGAAAGAATCTCATACATTAATTGTCTCTTATATAGAAGTACGTGGAGACCACATTATTATGCTTCTTACCTCACTCCCAGATAAATAATAAATAAATATCCGTGGGAACTATGTCAAATATGAAGCAAAAGTAAATACAAACTTACACAGTTTATTTGCACATACATTTACACCGATGTAAACGAGATTTGCAATGCAAACAAATTTAACCTTTTAGGATTGGGAGATTTAGAGTGAACCAAAATACAGATAGAACTGGATAGGGGATCAGATCTAATAGGCACAATATAGTAAGCACGTTCAATGAGCACTTACCAAATATTCTAACAACCGTCAAAAAGCCATTTTAATCTTTTTCAAGGGTAGCTAGACTAGGGGTATTTTAAAGGACAGGTGCTAAAAAAGGATTTTAAGTGCTTATTGAATGTAGTTACAACTTTGTGCCTATCTGATCCGGACTGGTATTAGGATGCAAACAGGTTGAGAGTCGAAAGAAAGAACCAATAAAATGTGCATTTGTGTGTGTGAGCATAAAATTAGGTTGGTGAGAGGCAACAGTTAGCTCAATTAGGAGCGAGTTGATTGAGATGAACAATCAACCACTTCAGTAAAAGTTGGCTTTTGCCAAATGTTTTGGAGGTATATAAGGCTATGTTTGGTTTGATAGTTGATGAATCAATTTTTGGTGATGTATGAATTTTTTTGTGGTAAGTACCAAGTCATTTGGTCCGCTTTCAAGTGGTCGATGACTAAGAAGTCGAAGTGAACTTTTGCTGGATGCCGAGCTAACCAGGCCGAGTTGGGGGCAGATTAGGTGCCGAGTTAACTGGGCCGAGCTGGGCAGGTTAGGTGCTGAACAGGCTGGGCTGAGCTAGGCAGGTTAGGTAATGAGTTGACTAGAGTGCCAAGCTGACTAGAGGGTTGAGCTGCCTATTAATCGCCGAGCTGACCAGAGGGTCGAGCTGGATTGGTTGTTGAGCTTCGTAGTTCTTTAGAGACCTGCAAGGAATCAATGTCAGAGGACCCGGGGTGGCTAACCCGATGAGGTCGCTCCGATGCTTAAGTCAGTACTCTCATAATAGACTACGAGCTAAAAATCACAAAGTATGAGATCTAGAATATGCTTACTTGCCCCCTATGTCATTGGGGTTGGTGCCTTTATATAGGCATTGTTTGGCGTGGGCTTCACGCACCATATCCGAGATTTCCGAGAAGTCACCTAAGTGGTCCGAGATCCCTGGAGGCAACCGCCATGCACGTTGACCACCCTCCGAATCATTTGGCACGTGGATCAACTTCCAAGGATCGTGGGAGTCTTAGGATATGCATGTTGAATTTGTCGGTGAGCACGTCTCGTAGGTCGCCAGGTTGGCGCTTGTGCCAGGCCGCTAGGTCGGCGTCCGTGCCAGGCCGCCAGGTCATGCCTAGGCCTAACCACCAGTTCGCGCCTATGCTAGACCGCCAAGTCGCGCTTGGGCCAGGCCGCCAGGTCGACGCCTGGGCTAGGCCGCCAGGTCGCGCCTG